TATATTGATGACGTAATACACGTAACTAAGGAGCGAACGAAAACAACCGAGTTGAATTAAGTCCGAGAAAAGAAAGTGTGCATTATAATCGAGAAAATGCGACTATTGTATTAATCTTTAAAATATTGGTATTAAATCTGTCTTATAAAATCACGACGACTCCTGTAAATCGAATTATCGGATAAGAATAAAATACAATACTATATACCCCTATCGTTGAAAACATTCGCTTATTTTTGCTCACTTCGAGTTTTGCTTAGTAAAAATGGCTAAAAAGTGCGCAAAATACGTACGGAAATACGATATTACAGCACCATTGGACGACCATTTGTCAAAAAGATCACTTTTTGAAGGAACCATGGGTGGTCGCCATAGACAGGTTTTACTGTATATATTTTATAGATTTTATTATTTTCGTATAAATTAATAAATAAACTTTGATAAATATTAAAACATTTTTTTTCATCATAGATAATGTAAGGAAATCAAGACAATAAACCTTATGAAAAATAGATACTTTGAAAATTACGCATGACAAACGTCTTTGCTAAAATTCGTGAATGTAGAAAAAGTTGTGGTCCTTACATTTTATTCGCCATACTTATGCTAGATGTACTTTAATCAATTTTTTAGTATATTATAACATTTGAATATATATAAATATATATACTGTATATATATAATTAACTACATACTGTATTTAATTTTAGCTGATATCATAAAAACATAATTTTTATAATAAATTTACTTGAAATTTACAGTAAACGCTTACACATCTATTGTATTTACTTCTGTGTACTTGACACGTGCTTAATAATATTCAAGTAATTGAATATTAATAAGCACAACTTAAGGACACAAAATGAACAGACAATTTTTTCCAGTTTTTCTAGTTAAAATTTTACAGTTATTGAAATTAATATTTTAATTATAATTTAGTTTCAACTGTAGTTTTATTATTGTTATTAATTTAAATAAATTTTTAAAATATTAAATAGCTTACTGTACAAAAAGATCATCAGCTTCAGTTTATTGCTCCATTTTAAATTACGGTGTAGCCTCCCTTACATAATCGTCTTCCATTTGTGCCCATGTTTGCCTATCATTTGCTTCTCTCCACCATGTTGTGCCTGCTTGTTTCCTTATGTCATAGTACCATCTTAAGTTTGGACGTTCTTTCGGTCTCTTGATTCCCTGTGGATACCACATCGTAATTATCGTGGACTATATTGTCAGTCCTTGCCAGATGCCCTGCCCATTGGTATTTAAAAGATTTAATTCTGTGTAGATTACCCAATTACCTAGGTTTTCTGCCTAATCCACTCTATTATTTAGTGAGATTTGATTTGACTCGTTTTTACAAAGATATATTAATTCATAAATATGAGGGTGATCAATAATAGTATCCGTGCACTTTTCTATTCAAAGAGAGACTCGGGTACTCGTATATTATCATTTTGTGCGCATTGTATTTTGTGATTGCAAATCCGACTTATTAACTATATTATATCTTTTAAAAAATAATATTGGATGAAGAAATAAATGCTTTTTTAATTTTTAATAAAAAGATAGGCATGGGCCAAATCACCTTGTCGACTTTATGCGATTTAGAAGCATCTTTAAATAAAATTTTGCGAGAACACAAAATATTATAACAAGTATATTAAAAAATATCTAAGGTAAATAACCATCTTAAAAGAATATTATTAACTTTTTTCAAGTGTTTTAAATGTTATTCAAAAGCTCACTTTACTTTATATCGTAGAACTTGAAAACGAAAAACGTTAATTTTTGAAAACATTTTAAATTAATTTAGAAAATCTTTACCAACGTAAAACATACAGTTATTTATTGTCACATTCTCACAATTACGAGTTGCAATTTTTAATTTATTTTCTATAAAATATATGCTCTCCACCTCAAATTAGTAACGAGGTTGAGACCGAAGTTTTAAACGAGAAAACGTGTACGTCGGACGTTCAGAGCCGCTTTCCTGTCAGCCTAGAAGTTTGATAATGGTGTTTGGAATGTCGAGAATGATTCCACTCACTATGCAAACACCATTGCCAAACTTCTTGGTTTACAGGAAAGCGGCGCTGAACGTCCGACGTACACGATTTCGGGTTTTAAACTTCGTCATCAACCTCGCTAGTAATGGCTTGCGCCTGTACATCATACTTTTATTTAAGAATAGAGTCATTTCGGTCATCTATCACCTTTAATGGGAATATTTTTAACCAGTTTATTTCCCTATTATTAAGGCTTTCGTAGTAAACTGTTGTCTTCTATTTATAAACGGTCTTTCTTGATATTCATAACATTCTTCTATGGAAAAATGGTAAATCCCACTTTTTAAATGTTATTTGATTTTCATTACCATTGGAAGTATTTCCCTTTGAATTTTCTGAAATAATATTTTTCAAAGTACAGTAGATATGAAAATAGGATTTGTAAGAAGACATAACAGAAAACAGATGCACTAATAGAGATTGTCATTACTGAGAGGAATGTCATGCACTGAAAAAAATACATAAATTTCTAATAAACACATTAACAAATAAAAACAATAAATTTATTTATGTATATACAAATACAGTGGGTGATCGGTTAACGAACATAATCCGTTCCAAGACTTTGTTCGCTATCCGAATTGTTTGTTAACCGATTATAGATTTACCATAGGTTTTTATGGGAATTTAATTAATTCGTTCTGGAGACCACAAAAAATAAAAAATATATACTTTCTTACTACGTTTATTTATATGTAATAACTAGCTGCAAGGACTCGCTTCGCTGGGTTTTTATTTGTTCGTACATTTGTATGTAATATAGTTTTTGTTTTTTATATATAAAAGACTGTTTTTCTAAGTAATCTAGAATCTAGCTGCAAGGACCCGCTTCGCTGGGTTTTTAAAAAGTAACGATAGTGAAGATTAAGATAATTACATTATAGCCAATCTTACCCGTTTTCACAGAATGCAAGAATTAGGTCCCTCGTTTCCAGACTAATTAGAGACCTGGTCCCGATTCTATTTCTGGACGTCTCCTGTTCACGTCAAGTNAATTGGGTCCCCCTGTTTCAAACTAATTAGAGAATTTTTAGATGGGTCTAAAAATATGTTCAATTTCCTGCAAAAATGAAAAAAACTGCATCTAAGTCTTGCATGTCGCTTTCTCTTAACAATTCCATTGTTATGTGACACTTCTATTATTACTTAACACTTCCATTGTTGATGGAAGTGTTAAGCCTTAATCCTGTCCCTCTCCCCCGTGGGGAGGAATTTTGAAAAATCCCTTCTTAGTGTGCGTTCTCGTGACATACCCTAATTGTGTACCAAATTTCAACTTTCAACTCCTAACCGTTTGGGCACTGTGCTTATTATTATTATTATTATCAACCAATCTCAATTATATATATATATATAGATAAAAATACATACATACACAGACTTGCATTTTTATTAGTCATGTTTTTCCGTTTGAAAGGGTTAAAGAATCTATCTAATGTCGATTGCTTTTCTCTCTTCTTCAGGATTTTTCGTAAGTAATTAATAGCATTGCAATTGTAGAAATCCCCAAGCCTCAACCTAGTTTGGATGTCATTCTAATACCGTTGTTCTGACATCCTCCCATTTCTTCAAAGGATCTTTAATAACAGATATCGGCATTAATCCTTTTTTTCAGAAGAAAACATATCTCACCGAGTTTCTTGGTGTTCTTCATTCAAGAGTTATTGGCATTCTTCTGTCGTCAGATCCGTTTCAGGTTCAGGTCATTATGAACTCTTCGATGTTCTTTATTTCTCAGACGTGATTTTTGTTACTTCTTTAGCTGCTTGAGTTTTCTTGATTATACAGTGTTTTTCTTAAATAAGATTGAACTGCGGCCTACAGTAGACCTGTTCACGCCATACTGCCCAGCAACTTTAGGCATCTTCTGCGGACTCTCTACCTTTGCTATTATACTCTCACCTTTCGTAAAGAAAAACAGACGCAAAACTTAACGAATGCCTACCCGACAGTCTCGCGAATACACAAAATAATTATTTTGTCAGAAAAATAAAAGGCTGGAATTACAAGGGAGAGTTTCAAAGTTCTCAGGAATACTATCCGATCGGTATATACCGGCTTGAGCGTCGATGTCGACATCTCCCGCACTCCGAAAAGTTTCGAATTGTTGCCCGAAGACAAGGGAAGACCAATCGGTATTCGTTATTTTACGTCGCTTCTTCTTGTGTTTGTTCTATGGGGTGTTCGTTATCCCATCATGTGTTCGTTGTCCGAACATAAAATTCTTTCGCGAAAGTGTTCGTTATCCGATTTGTTCGTTAACCGATCACCCATTGTACTATAAATGTATTTTAAAAAGATATTTAATGGTAAAAAATAATAAAACACTTATGCTGATTAAATGCTACATATGAACGAGCAATTATTTTTTGTGATATTGTCACAATGCCGGGTTGCAGTTTTTGACTATACTGTATTTTTAATTCATTTAATTTAAATTATATATTTATGATGAGAAATTTGGTTTCTCGGATAGTCCTTAATAGAATCGTAGTACAAAAATTAATTAACAATAGAGCTACTTATTAATTATTGAATAATTTTTAATTCCTGATTTAGATTCCCACCGGTTATTTCTGAATCAACTACTAAGATTGTACTTATGAAGCAATGGAAATATTCGTAGGTGTTCATATATATATTTTATTTATGTAATGTTCGAAAGTATATTTCTGTAATACTTTCTAGTACAGTAAAACCTTATTTTTTGAAACTTGTAACAACGAGACAAATTTTCTCATAAGAAACAATATAAAATGGATTAGTCTTTTCCTGACAGCGAAATCAATGCTTTTTAATTAAAATCATTTCAGCTGTGCTTCATGCATGAAAATGTTTAAATATGCAATGTAATATTATATTAACAAATTTCTTAAATGCAATTTAACTTTAAATAGCAGCGTCATCGATTATTCGTATCGTGACGTATATTTTACTTATATATTTCATATAATTAATGTTAAAAGAAACGTGCCCTGAACGAGGTTCGACTCAGACTCCAAAACAGTTTGGAACACCCCTGCCGATTTCTAAACAATTATTTGTATTGGAAATTAGGAAATTTTTTTTTCTAATGCTTCTTCTGTTGGATTATTATTACCCAAATAAGCATTTTTCTTTGAATTTTCTGGTGAAAACATTTTAATCACAGTATTTGATATTGGAATTTGCAGAAACGTGTAACAGAATACAGATACAATAATGGAAATAAACATCACCATTATGTATAACATCCACTGAAAAAATACGTAAATATACATTAAACATCTATAAATTTATTTTTCAATTGTATCAATATTTATATATATTAACACTAAATATTAATTAAAGGTATTACATGCTAAAGAATAATAAAATAAATTAATTAAGTACATCGTTAATTTAAAAGGATTTATCTGGGGTTAATTTCACTTACCTACTTTAATTTTCGAACATTATATGATATGTTATAAAGAATATTGAATATAAATTACAGAAAAGGTGTTTAGTTTAAATAAGAAATATTACATTTTAAATATTTTTAGAGAAATTAAAAATATATTGTTACCAAATATATTTCTCTAAATACTTGATGGCTTCTTTTTTCTCCATAAATATAAAGAATAGAAAGAGGATGCAGAATGTAAATCCACACTGTCAGTCGATCCATTACGACGAAGAACTCGGAGGACAGGAATTTATTTAAAAAACCTGAAACATTATCAATATATATTTGTAGAATCTACACTATCGACATTACATATATAAATATCTATACTCTTATAATATTAAAATTAATTTTAAATATTTTTATATATTTCTTGTCGACTTTATATATAAAAAACTGTACAGAGTGGATTAACTCGCTTTATATTTGAGGAAGTTGCTGCTAAGGCACCAACTAAGTATTTTCCCTGATAAATTAATAACTGCCGTATTATATATATAAGTGTACTGTAAAGCTTATATAATGAGAAAATATAGATTATTTTACTTGTACAATTTTTATATCTTAATAATATATTACTTTTGAAATAAAATCGAACAAATCGCTTTACAAAAGTTTCGATAAATGGATCTGCGGTTCATTGATTTCATCAAGAATTTTCCTTTATGAATCCAAGTACAAAGCACTAGTGATCGTAAAACAATTTTAATTCTATTCGCTTCAGACAAATTCTAAATATCATTCACAAAGAACAACTTGAACAAAAAAGTATGAAATGTGTAAAAGGACGTTTGAAATAAAGAAGACACTTTTGTGATACTTCTGCGTGCATTAAAGTTTGTAATATAATAAAATTTTTAGTATATTGATAATTTTACATTTAATTTCCAAATTTTTGAACTGCAATTTCAAAAAATTATAGACCTAAATTCAGACTGTCTCTCTGCCTTTTCTTAATTTCAAGAACGGAATTAGATAGATGAAAGCCGAAAGCAGATATGAAAAAATTAGGGGGAGGCCTCGATTTACTATACACGAAATTCTTCTTTGATTCAGAAGTCACGTTATTTCAATTCAAAATTTTCTGCTAAACAGAGTTAGATAACTGGCGCGACTCTATTGCTAAAAGAAAAGTATTATGTACAAGTACAGGGACAAGCCACTACAGATTTAGGGCGAAAAATATATATTTTATATAAAATAAATTAAAACATTATAAAAAATTGCAGCCTGGCATTTTGACGATGTTACAATAAATAAGTGCTCGTTTTTTATCAATTATTCTGTGCACAGTAAGCAATACCAAAATTTTGCTGAGTGTAAAAGCTGTTAATGTCCATTCATATATTTATTGTAAAATATTAGACGTAAACATAGGTAAATTTTTGGCCCATATTTTTACGAATTAAATATCTAAATTATATATTTTTTTCAATTAAATTATTTCCGTAAATTATACATAAGTACTGTTTGTTAAGAAAATAATTTCTGCTGTTTTTGTGTCTATATTCACTAAAATTTATGTATTGTAATTTACTAATGCAGTACTGATATATCTGCACACCTCTGTCCATCAATGGCAATTCTGTTGATTTAAAATATTTCTCCAGCTGTTTATATTCCCGAAATACATATAGAAACAATTACAGTGTAATTTACAAAGCAGAAATCGTACTTTCAGATTATAGTAAGGAAATATCCAGAAAATTTCACACAAAACATTTGTTTTACAAATTTATATTTTGAGTAAGTCTCCTCTAATTTTGTCTACCTTATCCTAATTGTTTGTTATAGTTATTCATCTGTTTTATTTTTAAAATCAATTATTATACTGCCAAGTGAAGTAAATTGAAATTTGAGAATGCAATAAAAAAGAATTTTGTAATCACTTCTTAATTCAAAACGTGATAGAAAAAAATATATAGTAATGTACTATTTTTGCGATTCTGAGTAGATAAAGTCATAGATTTCTATGAAAAATTCTCACTTTTTTCGTAGAAAAATCTTTTTAACACAAACATTATTTCTGGATACAAGTGTTACTCAAAACATCACAATTAATTAACGAATTCTTCTTATATATAAGCTAGTAAATATACTTGTAGTATGCTGCCTGTACAAACATTTAACTTAACGTATTCTCTTTGAAATATGTAACTTGCCTTTATACTGTATAATAAGTACATGGTTTTCTGGTCATAAAACCAGAGTTAACTTTAAAATTTTTTTTTTATATTCTTGTGGATGAAGGCCTTAACACGAAAGTTAATTGATCAGTGATACCATGTTATCTTCTTAGTGTGAAATAGTGTTATTAATTTTTCTTACTTTATTTTATCGTTGTAATTCTTATTTATTGATCCTTGTTTATATTTTATTTTGTAAGATAAAGTAAAACTCTAATAATTTATTGTTTACATTCATTAAAGTTAGAAACATACCTCCGTATCCCGAAATGCACGCAATACATATCCAAGCTGTTATGGCTGTCCATGCAAATGGAGACAAAATTTGATGTGCCAGAATTATTGAAACGTTTGGAGAAGGATCAAGTCTGTAATTGTGCAAACCGAATAAAGCCAATCCCATGAAACAAATTGTCGTAATCCAACATGAAACAACAATCCTCTGAAAAAAATATTGTAAACATAATTTCAATATCAAATTTAAAAGTTTTTCTATTTATAATTCAATCAAAAAAGTAAAATTATATTATCATAAGCTAAAATATGAATAAAAATAATATTTGTTTTTAATTCTCGTTGCTTCTTAAACGTTATCAATGATTATAAAATTTAACAATTTTTCTGATATAACAGAATATGAAAGAAGTTGTAACAACTATTCATACCCAATAACGCCATAATATCGTTCTATCCATGGAGGTTCGAAACTTAAGTACACTTCATCGTACAAATTACATATAATATGAATAGAAGGTATGAATGAGAGTATTTGATTCACTACAATTCTACTAATCTTCAATGCAATCAGCAAGAATTAAACAAGAATGTAAATTTCGAATAATTTGATTCAAATGTTAACATCCAATATATAACTATTGATACTGTCAAATGTACTTAAAACGGAATTTTATAACTAATATTTATTATAAATGTGTGTGGTAAACATTAATACCTTCGTGTGATATGCCTTCGATTTGAAACATAAATTTTGTGTCATAAATTTTACTTGTCTGTTAATTTATTAAGATATATTGTAGCATTTTCTAAGCCTATAAAAATAAACCTAAAAATAAAGAAAAAGTATTACAAATTACGTTGATACGTCATACTCTATAAGTGCTGTAAATTAAGAACTGAAATATAATTACTCAATTAACTAATCCCCAATAAGAAGAACAACGTAAGCTTTTTGAATATACCTCGACTAGAGTATATAGGGACCCCGAAGATTATTTTATATTTCTGTATTTAAAAATTATTTACTTTGACGTTAGTATTTATATTCGTGTATATAATAATATATTGTCATAAAAGCAAATAAAGTACTTGTTTTATCCGTCAAGTAAAACAGAATAATTACAAACAATTACATATTCACATAGATTCACTGCGTAAATATTTTTATTAAAATTCGCCGAATTCAAAAAGTACAAAGCATATAATGTCTGAAACACAAGGACATGCTAAATGCCATGTCCAATGCCACTATGGGTGAAATAATATTTATGCCATTGCGATGGAGTAGCTATGCTTTGAAAAACATTTAGTAATATTCTAACATTAAAACTACTGTACTTATGCTGTTACTTGTAATAATATCGTATAATTCTGTACTCATTATTGACGAGCACTTTGTAAACGATTAAATAATTTTTATGGTTTGGAATTTATCCAGTAATAAATCTAGTAATTATATGATTACATTTTCACATCTCAAAAGTGAAATCGCAACATTACGAAGAGAATGCGCGTAGACGCATGAAAATTGCAGGACCGGTAAAAGTGACAGAGATATGGAAATGAAAAGAAGAAACAAAGATATGAGTCAGCTGCTGGCTCATATCTTTGTTTGTTCTTTTAATCATTTGGAATTGTCTCTCACCTCTACTAGTCCTGCAGGGTGTATGCGGCTACAAATATGTGCATTTCAATTTCATTATTGAGATCTATCATACGGTAATATTTTACGTTATTATATGCGATATTAATTTACTTTCGCGCTTATCAGATCATTCGTGTGCCAATTAGGATAAAACATCATAATGCACTTCTAATAAGGCCAAAGTAATTCTGTTGTGCCCAAATATAGAATCTGTTAAACACTTGTTTTACACAATTCTTTATTTGAGACATTTAAATTTAAAAGGAATTCTGGAAAATATATCAAGCAATATTTATAATATACCTTTCCGAATTTCAGCTGTTTCTTTTCCAATAAAACGTGTCCAATTAATAAGCCCAAGCAGTAAGAACTTAAGTGTGAAAAGTAAGGTTTGCTGTAGATATTCTCCAGGAACTTTCCAAAATTTCTGTAATAAATTTGAGAACAAAAAGATTTTTATACGATAAGAACTTTATAAACAGTATACACACAAACAACGATATATGAAGCTATATATAAATAAATATTTAATGTTAATACATAAATAATAAAAATCAACACCATTACAATGATTATTGAAAAAATGTAAATTTTAAATATTTTAGAAACTTTTACATTTAGAACAAAGGAGATTTGGCTAACATTTTTAATAAATATTTCTTATTTAAACATTATATCTTCTAGTTTTACAAACCAATTTACAATTTATAAAATAGTTTAATTATTTCCTTTAATTTAAGATGATGTTATATAATTATTTAAATTGGGTTTATCAATCTGAGCCAAGAAATTAAAGATGTTAAATGATCGTATGCAGCCTGAGTTCTTTAGTTCTCCTACCTTAGTAATTTTCTTGCAAGATTCATTTTGCTAATAGAAGAACTGTTCTTCTGTTATTAATTAATTATCAAATTCAACTGTCCCATATAAGAACATTTCCTCGAGTACTGTTTCTCAAACTTATAATGTGCATTAGAAAATTCTTTTCACTAAAGCTCAGAACTGAAGAAATTATTATTTCCTTAATTATTTATACTGGTGTATATCGCGAGAATGTTCGTTTGTCTGTCTGTTTTCTGGAGGTAATCTCGAAGGATTTTTTAAAGTTTCTTCGCTAGTGGAAATCTTATTCCTTCCAGATAAACATTGACTCTATAATATTTACATATGAAAAAAAAATGAAATTTTCAAGATATATGTTTTTACGACGGCGTTTGTTTCTCCCGTCTGTTCCATTTGGACACTTTCTGGTGTTTTTTTTAATTTATTATTTATCATCTATTCGATTTCGATAATTACAGTCTAAGTAGTAGTGCATATGCTTTGCTTATATTGTCTTGGTCGTTCGTTTCTTATAATAACAGTCTTGTGTTATCAAATACATTTATAAGGAGAAAATTTACTTTTCTTACATGAAACTGATCTTTTTGTACGCAGGACTATAATGTTTTTATATGTTCATTGTTTTAGTATTAATTCTACTATATCATTTAAAAATAAAAATTTGTTCTCTGTGATATCTATATACGTAAGTTGAGTTCTTCGGGATATTTTTCAGATGTAACTTATCAATGATAAAATGCCTACAAAAGTCACAATTGTAACGAAATACATCGGTGTCCTCGCTCATTCCTGCAAATTTCATCTCCCCTACAAACTTCCAAAGTCATTGATCGATCTGGACCAACTTTCGCATAGTTTCTCTATAGTCTATTGTTACGAAAAATATCGACTACCACAGGGATGGGCAACCTGCCGCCCACATTAATATTTTTTGCGGCCCGCGTGACATAAAATGTGAATAAATAATCAATTTCCCAGCTTAATTAAGGAAGCAAAAATTCAAACGTTATGTGACATCCAAAGAGGAGAGTGAAGAAACAAAGAGAATAATTAGAAATAATAATAATTAAGAATTTAATTTTTTTCGATATAGAAATCGAAGATCGAAAGGTCGAATGGGGAAAGGATGACAAAACCCACACACATCCTGTTTCGTCCGATTTTGAAACCGATAAAGCCGATCAGATGATCATACAAAGTAACAATTATTACTAAGATTGCAAGACAAATCTCACCTTAGTCACCTCCAGCAATTAATTAATTCAGTCTGTTTGACAGCTGTTATCAAATTTATGAGGTTTCTACCTCATAAATTTGATAACATAACGGATAGAAAGTATTCATAACGGATAGAAAGAGGTAATAAATTTAAAGAAATGTTCGATTTCTGACAATTAACATAAACAAAACCCGGACACAAATCGAACTTAGAAGCGGTTACATCATACATAGCATTAGTCAGCTCGCCCGAAAACGGGTATAAAAAGGGCTTGGACACAGTTCTCAGGGCGAACATCAACTGCGGACATCAACAGGGGACACCAGACCCATACCGCCTATTTGTCCGCGGCAACCCTTGCGTTTCCGCCGTAATCGCAAGATGATCCTGACCTGAACGAAAGGAAGACTATTGGTCAACTCCGCCGATCTAAGAGCGTTTCACCAACGTCCTATACAACGAGATCGGGAACCAGAGGTCTATAAGGTACGACACATATAAAATTGTAAACTCTCTCTCTTGATTCGTTAATTAAGTAGTTAAGTAGTATAAGTAGCCATAACGCGTCTTTTTGTATCTAAACTTAGAAAACCTTACCTATTAGGCTTATGTATATTAAATGTTATTTGTTGAACCTGTGGACCTGTCTATAATTCTTTACGAACACCTTGTCGCCCTACTCATCAACCCTCCCCACTACACTAATTACCCTGCTACGACCATTCCCTGACAGAGAAGCAGGTAAGTGTGGCACAGAGTTTGTCCCCTCGGTTCTCACAGTTATTTTCTCCAAGTTATGTATGTGAATAGTTTTTCCGCAATGAATTTAGTAAAATATAAAGAAGAAACCAGCTAACAGACACATCAAAACTAATTTAAAACTAACAGTGACTAATATTTAACCAAATATTTCCGATATATTACGTTTACATCAGTTCCACAAGCTAAATTAAGTACATCTATGCTAATTTATAATTATATATGAATAAATAATTGTTATTTACTGGCATTTTCCCCCTTTTTTTTCTTGTATGAAACCTGCGACAGTTCAAAAGTTTTCAAATGCGGCCTTACAGAGAAAAAGGTTGCCCATCCCTGGACTACCATATCAGTCGAAACTGTTAGTCATCCTCTCTGATTTTATTTCCCTACCATTAAACTCCCAAATCTTTTGAGCGTTCTGAACAATTTTGCAAAGTTATACTTCACAATCCTTCAAAAACTATATGCTTCATTAAAACTCGCACTCTCATTCTTGCTGATTTTATCTCCTACAAATTGTCTAATCGGATGATTGAGTTGCACCAAACTTTTCAGTCTCTCTATCATCCTTTCCAAAAACATACGCTAATTTATAAGAAGAGCAACTCAACTGTCTCTGAGTTCAAGGACAATCTTCGCTACTATTTAATATAAATATTTAACAAATGAAACATACTCAAAATTTATTGATACACCAAGGATGAAGACACATTTCGTAATTAGTAACTGAGAAGCATGTGATACGATTCCTGCCAATGTCAAAATGCATAATAATGCAGTTACAATTCTTGGCCATCTGCAATAAAACAAAATAAGTTAAAAACTTCTCTTGAATGTACTTAAAGATCACATTTAAAAGCATACGTTTAAACACTAAATTTGTTTAATTACAATATATTTTAATACGTTAAAATTAAGATTAAATCACTGAAAGTTATCACTGAAAAGATTCAAAACACTTATAATGGAACTAATAATATATTTTAAAATAAACGATAAAGTACATCATGTTTTATTGGGCTACAATTTAAAAAGATTGTAAACCTATCAATTCCCACTGTTGTCTGTCCACCCGACAGTCTACCTGTCGTCCCTGAATCTCGAGAACGGGGTTACATAAATGAAACTCCAGACAAGGATTAGATGGCAGAGGGACAGGAGCCCGGAATAGCTGTACAGTAACTTCCGACACAAAGCAAACGTCACGTTATTTCAATTCACATATTTTTCTCCGAAAGGTGTTAGATAAACGACTAGAACGACTTTATGGTTAAATAAAAAGTATGATGTATAGGGGCAAGCCACTACTGATTTGAGATGGAGAATAAAGTAAAATAAATTAAAAATATGATTAAAAATTGCACCCAGAACTCTGTTGGTAGCTTTAATTTGTTTGTATTTTTAAGTCAGAAATATTTTTTATGCTCTTATAGTATGTTGTCTACAATAGTGTACTGGTTACAGGAACAAGTTAGATGAGAAACCTAAAGAAAATATATCATAAATTTAAAAATTTCTTGAAATAAATTGAAATATGAAAAATAGATTTCAATTTTTCACGTGTATAACTAAAAGAAAGAATTTACAGATGTAGTCTTTCATTAATATAGGGGAGATCGGGGCAACTTCGGCATGCGGGGCAAGTTTGTCAAGCGCTTTTTTTAAAAAACAAATTAAAAGGAGACTTTGGTTATAGGTTAGGCAGTTGAGTTTTATTGGTGGCTTGTTGAGTGTAGTGTTTTTATTGTTCTCCAACAAGCGTAGTTGAATTATCAAGCAAATTTTCATTTTCGTTCAATTCCATATAATATTTTTTTTCCATTTATATTGAATTGGCAGGTTTTGTTATAATTCCATGATAACGAAAGTTACTTTTCCTGTTAGAAGGATGTAACTTCAACTTATTCACGTGGCCAGATCGTGGCTTGGCATTCTGTTCTCAGGGTTGTACTTAATGTTTCGAAATCATGACTAGCGGGGTAAGATCGGCAACATAAAGCCACATTAGAAGCAAAGGATAAAAATCAAACAGATGATAAATGAAAACATGTTTGCATTTGTTATTCATGTATATATGTCTTTGAACTTGCATTTCGTTGTAATAATATTAAATGGGTGTTGGATTTGTATTTCTTTGTTTTAATAGTGAATTCCAACTTATACATTGTTAATAACATAATTTTATATACGTGCCTATCTTGCCCCATTTCTGTTGCCCCTATACCACGGGCAACTTTAATAAAAATAATTAAAATAATTACAACTTTACAAAAAGAGAGAAGTTGCCGATCTTGCCCCTATACCCGGGGCAACTTCGTCAATTTCTCTCTTCTTGTAAAGTTGTAATTATTTTAATTATTTTTATTTCCAAACTGATTTTAACCAGTTCTATAGTAAGGTAACATTCCAATAGACAATATGCAAAGCTTTTTTTTCAGTTTACAGCAGTATTTATTACACAAAATTTAAGTAAAACTTAACATGCCGATCTTGTCCCGATCTCCCCTAATTAAAAACAATTTTTTCTTGTTAACTAAGTGTAGCTTTGCTAACCTATCCCAAGTAGAAATTTCTTGTCGTTACGTGTGGCCGCCATATTGAATTTTTTTCACTGTTAAGCCTAAAGAAAAAAAAATTAAATAGTAATCGTGTTTACTGTATCATTAAGATTTTTTTTTATTTTGCACAAACAAAACAAATATATTGAAAAATGTAAAAACAAAAGTAATTATCTTTCGAAAGTTCGTTTTATTAAAAAAATTATGACATAGCGACATTTATTATCAGAAAGGTTTCGATGTAGAAACGAGTATGTTCCAGGTCGACAGGTCAGGTCAAATGAGGCCAACACGAAAATATACGGGAACAACACAGGACAGGAATTATCAATCGAATTATGAAAAAATAATCGAATCGTTAGTCATAAAAAATTGGAATAAAAACAATTACGTTTAAAAAACCGATTACAAATATAAATTTCCTATTATTAAAAAGTGTATAGGTAAGTATAAAAAAATTAAATAAAAAGGGAATTAATAGAATTAATAACATAGATATTAATGAATCGCACTAACAGTTACCAAAGTCCATATATGAAATCTTAAGAAATGTTTTCATTACGATGGTCAATGCCTATGAGAGGTATTAGTTGTATTCAATGCGGATAATATACGTAACAAAACTGAATTTGTAAAATAGGAAACTAGATGAATTAAAATTAGACATTTATAGGCGTATGTATAAAGAATTATTTCAAGAAAGGAAAAAAATGCATTACATCTGAAGATTTAAACAATATAAAATGAAATTTGGAGAAACTAAAAAATTCCAATTTGTTTCAAACAATGACAATCATTTGTAAGTTTTACGATGTTTAGTCTTTCAATAACAATAACAAAAATAAATTAAGATATACAGTTTATAATCATTTCATTATTATCAAATATTTATAAAATCAACATAGAAGTATATTATATGGAAATATAAATAATAATACCTACTTATGTACAAGTCGTCAAATTTACCACATGTTACCAAAAATATAGATTTTTTTATAGTGCTTACATGTAATAAGAAAATAGTTAGTTCATACAGGAATTATAAGATATTCGAACCTTAAAAAAGTAATAAAGTTATATTCATCCTTACCTATCACGAATGTAAAACAAAGGAACTGTAATTACAGTTAATTGCATTAACACATTCAAAAACCATGTGTGTGAAGAAAACTGTAAAAGCAAATGACTTTTTATAGTATAGTTTAATAAAATTATATTTTAAAATTAAGAATACTCAGCAGTTTACAGTTAGGTTAATGGTGTAAAAATTCTGAATTTGAAGGATATATCTCCACCAGTGTTTCTCAACGTTTTCCGCTTCTTTATATACGAGATCCCAGTGTGGTCCTTCGCCACAAAGAGGCAGAAGTATAAAAAAAGCCAATAAGCAGAGCAAAGGAATAGTCATTCTTTAATATAAAATGAATAACATTTCAATAATACATAAACGGTTAATTTAGTGAATGAAAACAGAGATAAAATAACTATTAACCTGATATATCGCTGGATTAAAAACGTTAAGTAGTACAATGCAGGTCTTTTTTTATCCCTTCGTCGCAGGTAGAATGTTAAAAAACCACTGCATAGAATTTTATTAATTAATTAATATTTTAATAAAACTATTTAATAAAAATAGTTTAAATTAAATGTGTGTTTCTGAAACAAATTAAAAACGAATTACAAATTTTTAATTGCACTTTTAATTTTATACATGTACAAAGTATTCAAATAAAAATTATAAAAGATCGTACCTCTTGTCTTTCTTAATGCAAATGTTTCTTTTTATAATTCAACTTAAGAGATAAAATTAGCAAGTAACTTAAAGTTTTCTTTTAGGAAAATACATTTGAATTTATAACAAAAAGTTAGAAGTCCGTTCACATGATTTAAAAAAATGAATTATAATATGTAACCAGTTTTCCAAGAATATCACATCCACAGACTTCAAAAATGTCTAACCTATCAACAACTTTCCCTCCCCAGGTCTACTGAGGAGGAAAACTTATTGATAGGTTAAAAATTTTAGAGGGAGTAAATGTGAGAATTCTTAGAAAATAACGGTGTTTAACCGGTTACATATTGAAATTTTAAAAAATGTAAGGAATTAAAGCAAAAGATTAAATCATAAAATTATGAAGTTTAACAGAGCGTTTTACTTTTAGCTAATATAGTTAATCAATTTAGAAATCTATGATAGATATAAATAGTAACACAGTCCTGTATTCTAAAAAAAAAAAACATATGTATTGTACAAGGTTTCACAATGTAAACTATATAACATTTTGTATATAAATTGTGCATAGAATTTTACATGTGAAGAAAGTAATAGAACAATTGCGATTATTTCTCTAAGTGTAGTTGAATACGTAGAATTCTTTCATATTTTATAGGCAGGGGCACGCAGCTATGACGCAGTAAGTCGCACTTGCAAACTTTTTTCGAACATTAAGTTTAATAATTATTACGAAATATTTATATTGTATAAAGATATGAAGTGAAAAATCATGCACTCACCTCAGAAAAAAGTATACTTCAATCATATGCCAAGCTTGAGAAATCACTTCTAAGAAAGCATTACCTACCATATTTGGATNTTTTTTCGAACATTAAGTTTAATAATTATTACGAAATATTTATATTGTATAAAGATATGAAGTGAAAAATCATGCACTCACCTCAGAAAAAAGTATACTTCAATCATATGCCAAGCTTGAGAAATCACTTCTAAGAAAGCATTACCTACCATATTTGGATAGTTGTTAAATTTTTCTGAAATATATACAAAGAATAAGTAATCTGTTTAAATATTCTATTAATTTATGGTTAAAACAGCAGTTCTTTTAGTTAAAATAGTAAATTAAATCGATTTTGTTTACGCCATTTTAAGATTTTTAATACAGAAAAAATAGAACCCCACGATTCACCAGTTAAAATATCTTACGAAATGTATTTGCTGTAATATAAATTAATCAATAAATTAAAGTAATTTATAAATACAAAATAGTTAAGATTTAAAATTAACGCTGAACTCCTGAAAATTAACTGTTACTGAGGAGTCGTTTTGGTGTAGATAAATAAGAAACAATTGAGTGGTGATATCATTTCCGAGAGTATATTTGTGAGACAGTCAGGAAAACTGCACTGTGACCATAAGAAATAGACATCGCCACACTTCACTAAAAGTATAATAATTGTAATTTTCATCTTATTATACTTTATCTAAGTATTTTATACATTGCTTTCAGTTTTACCCAATTGTTTAGGGCATTTCGACTGTGTAATTTTTATTTTAAATATATTCATTTCATGTTTATGTTTTTCGATTTCACTATTGTTTGAGTGTGGACACAAATCAATTCATTTTTCGTTACTTTTAATTTGAAAATCGATTCGGAAATAGAATGTTTCAGAGTTCGAAGAACTTGAAACGAAATAAATTCCAAGTACAAGAAACCACAGCATACTGTATTTATTTCTTATAATCAAAATTACGGCAGATCAAGGTTTTCGATACGAAATTAAGTTGCTTTCAAAACGGTTTTGTCACAATGCCAATTGAAGAATAATGTTCAGGAAGATTATTCTTCAATGGCCTGTTAATGCTGACATCCGTGGGCTGAGGAACGAAAGTCATTCTGCCAAAAATGAAAAGAAGCTCGCTTTCCATGCTGCGTTTGTTTTTTACTTAAATTGTCGTGTGTTCTTATCATAAGTCTAACAAAGTCTATAAGTGCTCAGGACTACGTCAGTGAACAATTAGCAGCCAGTCGAAATTTAATTGTTACGTTTACCATTCCATAACCTGTGCGAATACGAACACGTCAAAAAGGAAACTATAGTCATTCACAGTCTTTTTGAAATTTTTGAATGCAGGAAATTACCGACCATTCATAGCTACATGACTGTCATATGTTGTTTCTCATCGCCGGATGATTTAATTGAAATTTCATTTATAAACCGTGAAATTGTTTAGCCAAATTCAGACTATATCAGCATTACGAATATGGTCTAACATGAAGCTTTCAATTTGTCTGAGTGTGATCATGTATTGTCTAATATTTAGCAGCTTGCTATAGAAATCTGCCAGCAGTTTCTGAAGGATAGTTGCGACAAGGCACATCGCTCCATAAAAGGCACCACTGGCTTTAAAGATTCCCCTGGAAAGTTTAGAATTTGTCATATTTCAATTTTTTTTACTCTATCCTTATACAGAAACGCGACGGATGGGCGATGCCTCCCCGATACTTTTGCTATGGGAAACTGGATCAAATTTAGGTTTTTCTGACATGAAAAAAAACCGAAAAACTCAGCCAGTTAGTTGGCAATGCGTGATCCCACTACCAACTATCAGTGTTCTTTAGTTTTGTCCAGTCGGCCACTGATGGGTTCGACATTACTCGTCATGGCGTCATTAATCACAGGTGGAAACTTTTCTTCTCTTTTCTACAAACTCCATAATATGTTTGTTAATATCCGGTTGTGTTTTTTTTGATGCATTTGATTTCTTTCATTTCTCCTCGCACGTTATGTTGTTGAAAAAATCGAAACTTCTTCTTTGCCACATCAAGTTTCTTCCAACATTTCTTTTTCAGTAGACTACTAAAACCATTTCAGAACAAAACCTCATTTATTCAAAACCTCGATGAGAAAATTTCTGGAATCAAACGAAATTATTGGATTTTTAGAAACCTGGATTATAAAATTTAGTGAAATGGAAATAAAATATCTAGAACAAGACAATAACATAATAATTAGTAATGCTCAACGCAAAAATAAGTTTGGTCGTCCATCATGTGGAATTCTGTTATTGATAAAGAAAAAATTAGGTGAAATATTTCTACAATATACAACAGATTATGTTATTGCGGTCATAATAAAATTAGATAATAAAATAAAAATGAGATGGTCTTNCAGCCTTTTCTTAGAGGTTCTGACACTTTTTACATTAAAACCATAAAACCAGCCTAAAATCTAATATGACTCCTAAGTATCTTAACGATTTCTCAACCTTAACTGTTGTCCCGTTCCACTTAGGAGTCATATTAGATTTTAGGCTGGCATGGGACAGTCATATCACTCACATTGCTGAACGTACTGGCCTGATTTGCCAGATCATCTCCCAAGTCGCCAGACAGAAATGGGGTCTAACCTCGAAATCATTGTCAATAATTTATGATGGCATATACATACCAACAATAACATATGCTTGTGGTACCTGGGGATGGGCCATTTCCAAGGTCCACCCCAGGAGAAAAATGATCTCGTCCCAAAGACGCATTCTACTATTGATTTCAAAAGCATATAGAACTACAAGCAATGTGTGCTTGCAAGTAATAACTAGAAAACCGCCGATTGACCTTATAATTGACGAAAAGAAAAAATTATTTAGACTTAAAAGAGGAGAAAATATCAAAATTGGAACCAGAGACATAAATTACCATGATGTCGAATGGCCATCATCATTTAGCTGCACTATCTCATCGGAGAATTCCATACTAAGCCAAGATAATACCATAACAGAAGATACCATACTTATATATACAGATGGTTCCAATCATAATAACAAAGTGGGATGCAGCTACGTTATATATAAAAACGGTAATGAAACAAACTACTGTAAATTTCGTTTGCTTAACGAATGTACGATCTTTCAAGCCGAAATGTGGGCTATAAAAATGGCCATTGAATATACTAACAGCAACTTCAATAATAACAAGATAAACATCTATACGGATTCGTTCTCATCGGTTCAAACCATTAAAAACAGAAATCTACACCCAATTGCCGAAAAAATAAGAGAGCTGATATACTTATCGACAAACAAATACAATATTGAATGGGTAAGAGCCCATCAGGGCGAAATCGGCAATGAGAGAGCTGACTTCCTGGCGAAGGAAGCTGCAGCGGAAGACACCCTACCAATAGCATACAATAAAATTAGTAAAAGAATAATTTGCAATATTTTAAGAATAGAAACCATCCATCAATGGCAGGAAAGGTGGAACCAACACAGCGAACATATTACTTATAAATTCATCACAAACTTGAAAGAATTTAATAATAATAAGTGGTATAGCCCTACCCATTACATTTCGCAGTTTCTTACAAACCATGGCAAGTTCGCCACTTATCTAGAAAGATTCAATCATTGCAACTCAAAGATCTGCCCTACTTGCAAAATGGAAGAGGATGGATCGTTACATTATCTTTTCCGTTGCCCAACTTTTGAAAGGGAGCGACTCGAACTTCGAATGGCGACACAGGATCAAGGAATAGCTTGGCCTTGCAAGCCGTCCGAGATTTGGTCCTCTAAGAACACCTATATGGCCTTTGAAAGACTCTGCAAACAAGTCAACTATATNAAATCACGGTAAATATGCAAGTTATCTTGCTCGATTTACTAATAGGAATTCCAGACTTTGTCAAGCCTGTGGTGTGGAAGATGGTGCAATACATTATCTTTTTGACTGTATGATTTTTGATAGCTCACGCCTTGAGATTCAATTACTATTACAGGAACTGGGAATTATGTGGCCTTGCAACCCTTCTGATATTTGGCGTACAAAGGAAATATATTATGCTTTTAAGAGACTTGCTAGGCATATCAATACTGTAACTCACAACTCTATCTACAATTAATTGTCTTGGCCCCTGGTTATTTAATGAAATTTGTAGCATCTACACGCGCATTTCTGTCGTATAATATAATATATATATATACTTGTTCTCATCCAGTTCTAATATTATGCAGATTGGTTGTTGATGCATCCTTACATGTAATGTGTTTACGCGCTAGTTGCTATGTATTTAATTTAATGTTATTTTAATTTTGTTTTTATTACATGTATTTTTATTCTATGTGTAATTGATTCGGTTTTTGTCACGTCGTGTGATTTTTAATGTGATTGTTGATTGCACGTGTTTACTTTTGTTGCAACTTATATTACGTAAACTTTGTTATGTTTATTTGTTTTATTTTTCTTATTTTATTTATTATTGTTTATTGTTTATTTGTTAATTTATTTTATCTTACTTATTTCATCATCTGCATTTATTTCTGTATTACTTCTTAATTTAATATTCACTTAATATTGTATATATACTCTATCCCTGGTAATGCGTGTAGCGGGACCAGGGAATGTACAATTATTTTTGTACCAATAAAACAAAATGAATGAATGAATGAATGAATGTCTAGCTACAGCTGTGATCACTCCTGTGGCATCTTCCGTGAATGAAATGCATCTGCAAATAGAAAAAAATTTTTTTTTCCATATTAATTAATATTTCTAATTTTTTTTATTATTTTTCCCCCAAAGGGGGTGGGCTATCTCAGGCGATAGTGCCAGGCCTGAGCAACCTGCGGCGGGGAGGGAGCAAGCCCCGTCTTGCCCAGTTCCAAAAATCAGGTTAATATCGAAGGTCTCCGATGGAAACCGTATCAGATATTAAGCTGATAAGAACAGATATTATGTGTCAAAGTTTGTAGAAATATTAATTTCTCTTAACAGATGCGTATGTAGTGCAGAGGAGCAATCATAAGTAAGGCAGAGTATATAGAAGAGGAGTAGTGGGACAAATAACCACACCCCGGCAGAGATCGCCAAGCGTGACCTGAATCCCATGAAGGATTTATTGAAAAAACAACCTTGACAGTACATCAGCTCAATAAAATGGTTAATCACAAAACAATTTCGACAATTTTAATTTCAAAAGGTAAGTACAGTTAATTACAAATTTAAATACAAATGTTACAAATAAAGTAG